AGAGGAGAATCGAGGAGAAGGGATTGTGGTGTGGCCATCCCCCCTGGGGGGTGATTTCTCATTTTCTGTCTCTCCATCTCTCTGTCTGGTGAGCGCACATGCCCTATAGCAAAAAAAACAAAAAACAAAAAACAGAGACCAGCAGGTGGCATGATGGTTAAGGTGCTGGACACTCCCACATGGCTGACCAGGGTTCAAGTCCTGAATCTGGTGGCTTGCTTTCTCACTTCCTCTCTCTCTCACTCTTACCCTCTTTCTCGCTCGGGTCAAATTAAAAAAATAAAAATGAATCGATAAATAAAATAAATAATTATTAAAAAACAACATCAACAACAACAACAAAAAAACAGAGAGCTTTGCTCCCCCAGGTGAAAAGGAAGGAAGAAGGGAGGAAGGGGGGGGAAGACCAGAGGGCACACCCAGCCAGTCATGTCCTTCTAAATCTGCTGCCACCTGGCTGTCACCAAACCTCTCCCTTCACCAACAAAATGCCTCCCTGGAGGGCTGCATGCCACAAGCCCCAGCTCCCCACAGCAGACAAAGCGGGAGACAAGGTCAGTGAGTCAAGACCAGCCTGGTGACACCACGTGGCACTGAAGTCCCTGCAGATAAGTGTCAGGACACACAAGACCTGGCTGGGGTGAGCCTTCCAGCTGCTGAGGCTGGAGCCGTTTTGCATAAACTCAGCCTCCTCCCCAGGCCTGGCCCTGGCGACTGCAGGCGCTCCGACACCAGAGGGAGCAGGTGGTCTCAGCCCAGTGAGCAGCCAAGGCCCAAGTGGAGAGGGCGGGGCATGTTCTCCTGCCTGCCCTTCCTCTCGAAAATCACAAGGGGTCACTCTCAGACCAGAGATGGATGGAGGAGCAAAGCCCCAAGGCAATCTCTCACACACTCGAACCTAGCAGGTGTGGACGGTGCAGGAAGTTCTGCCCTGAGACTTGGCCTGAAAGCAACAAGGGCGACTGACTAACATTCAATTCATTCATTCGTTCATTCATTTGCTCACTTGCCAAATATCCACTGCACCTGGGTATAGAGATGGCCTTGGGAACAGAGCTGGCTCTACCCTCTGTACCCAATCTGGGAGACACCAGCTGGCGGCAGAGCACCCGGCAGGCCCTCGGCTCTCAGCCCTGAGCTGTGTGAGCTCAGTTACGAACATTTTCTGTGCCTCCATCTCCTAACTGTAGGGTGAGGGTCATCAGTCTACACGGAAGGCTGCTGTGAGGAAGAAAGGACACCGGAGACGAGCCAGGATGAAGCAGGCCGCCACCTCGGCCGCTCCGTCTGCTACGAGGACGTGAACTGCAGCTGGGAGCACGGCCCATGGCCGGGAAGGTCTCAGGCAGACTGCTCCAGGGGATGGTACGGTGCCCTGCATTGGCAGCGTGGGACCACCCATGGTCATAGACGCCACGTGGTCAACAACAGTTTTGACCCCAAGTGGTTGACACCACAGAGGAGCCCCATGTGTCCTGCTGAGCATTCACTCCTCTGGGGCATTTTCCTGTCTTGCCAGGGGCTTCTTGGAACCCGGGGACATAAAGCACCAGAAAGCCAAGGGACAGAACTTAGATGGATGAGCAAAAAGCCAGTGGTCAGGGCCATCACGTGGTGCCCTAGGAGGTGTGGACAGCTGTGTATGTGAGCTCACAGGCAGTGTGGCGAGGAGGACCTGGCAGGAGAACCTGGAGAAGGGGAGCCCCTCCCCAAGCGAGTGGGAGCAGGGCTGGCAGCAGAAAGCAAGGCCGACCCCTGTACTCAGTGGAGGGGGAGAGACGTGTATGTCAGGGAGAGGCCACTCACAGTGAGCAGGGGTCCTCTTCGGTGAGATCTGCTAGGTATACGTTCGCAAAGTGGATGAACAGCATTCCTATGGCTTGCTTGGAAGTGTCTAGAAACCTGTATGAAACAGAACGGCAGCTGTCGTCACTCTGACACGAGGAAGAGAAAGGAAGAGAAAACGAGAGGCTGAAACAGGAGACCCCGACCTTCCAGGCGCGTGTCACGTTCTCCCGGAGGCTTCGGTACTAAATCCGGCTTCCTATCTCAGCCACCTTCCAAAATCTTCACTAGTGCTGTCTTTGAAACCCCTACAAAGCCACTGATTAGTGTTACTTAAGATATATTCTTTTTTCATTTTTTTGTTACTTCAAAATGAAATGCTCAATCACTGCTTTATAAGCCCAAGGAGCCTCTATTTTAAAGAGCTCCCACTCGACTTCATTGACAGCGAGCTGAATTACACTGAACGACACGCGCACGTCATGAGACTTGTGCAAGCCCAGTACTGCAGCTGACTCCCTAAACCCGTTTCTGCCACTGGCAGCCACTTGTACTTGTGGCCGTCTTTCCTGGCCTCCCGGGCGTGGCCTCAGCCAGGTCTCAGGACTGGAATGGACCACAAAAATTACCCAGTCCATCCAGCAGCTGGGGCTTAAAAATAAGTCCTTGAACTCACTGGAAAGAAGAAGCCACCAAGGGTATAAAATAGAGTGCCCCAGAGCTAGGCTGTCCCCCAGTCCCTTCCCAGCCTGAGGCCAGAACCCCTCATTCTAGAGCTAAATACCAAAATTAGGGGGGAAATAAAACCAAGGACGATCACAGCCATAGCTGCGCATGCTGGCCTTGGCTACCTGGCAGGATGAAGCTACATGGGAGGTCCAGGTTCGATTCTCAGCCCACCCTAAAAACAAGCTGGGCAGGGTGGTGCATGCCTATAGTCCCAGCTACTTGGGAAGTTGAGGCAGGAGGAATACAACACCGTGAGACCCTGTCTAAAAAGAAAAAGAATGACCAACGTGCGGCAGGGACGCGGTTAAGGAAGCTGGCAGCAGAGAGCAGTGCGTGGCTTATCTTCCAGCTTCCAACATTTGAAGCGGAGCGATCATAAACGAGAGATAGAGATCAAACGTGATCTAGAGAGGGCTGGCTCTGTGGCACCGTGGCAACACACTGCTTAAGAGGAGCTGGATCCACATATCTGGCCCGCTTAGCCTGGGACAGGCAGGGCCTGTGCATGAGTGCCCGAGTTGACGGGCTGGAGGACTGGAGGAGGAGATTGCATGGAGGGTGCTCCTCGCTCACTCCTGTGCACGGAATGTGCTCTATCATGATAAAAGGGTAGGGGAGGGACCAGCAGTTAGCGTAGTGGCTATGTCGTTGGACTCCCATGTAGTCGACTGCAGTTCGTGTCCTGGACCCGGTGGCTTAAACTCACACTGGACACATGCGTGCATGCCCAAGATCCCGAGAGGAGAATGGAGGAGAAGGGATTGTGGCGTGGCCATCCCCTCTGGGGGGTGATATCTTGCTTTCTCTCTCTGTCTTTCTGGCGAGCGCACGTGCCCTATAGCAAAAACCTCTCTGAAAAAAAAAAAACAAAAACAAAAAACAAACGATTGGGGGGGAAGGGGAGTAGGGGAGTTATATGGATAAACAGAAGCAGTTTCACATTAATCATTAATCACAGTTCCTAATGATTAACCCAACGAAGGGTCCCAGACACTACACTGGGTATAGTTTTCCACGTTCCATCCCCTACCCACCCCAATACCCATGGCCCCTCAAAACCAAAACCAAACCAGACCCACAAATCCCCAAGGTCAGGAACATCCAAGGAAAGCCCCAACACTTAAATACGTACCATATCCTCCACGGACGCCTTTCATGCTTTGGTTCTCTGAAGCGTTTGACTGAAAGAAAAGCCAGACGTCAGTCACTGTCCAGAGCAGACATGACGCACGCTGCACATAACGAGCGGGCCATCAGCCCACTGGCTGTACACACCACCGCGGGAAGGCACGTGCCCTTTCAACACGCGACCAGCCTGCTCAAGGGCCTGGGGCTCTGGCCCGCTGACGACCACTATGGACGCTTTAGAACTGGAAACTGAAGAGTGACGCCTCACAGCGTGTGGAAAACGATCCTTCCTTCTTTGGGACAAGGCTCCCTCAGAAAAGGACTGAAAATACCAAAGTGGAATGCAGCTGTCTGACTTCAGGACACGCTCTGTCCGAGGACAAACCTGTCCACCCCACTCACAGCGAGTGCCCACTCTGGCAGGTACCCAGGAGACAGAGGGCAGGTCAGCTGTGCGGCCACAGACGTGGAGGGGACAGACGTGGAGCCATAGTGCGCTGAGCGCTAGGGAAGGGCTGAGCGTGAGCAAGGACGGTGAGCGCCTGCCTGTCTGCAGGAAGGGCAGCCCTGGGACAGGCTCACTGCCAGGGATGTGGCGTGGCGCGGGGTGTCCAGCAGTTTCATTGGCTTCAATACAGCAGTTAGAACACAGAGAACCAAATACGGTATTATGGGTTGGACTGTGTCTCCTCTCCGATTCCCATGTGGAAGTTCTAACCTTCAGGACCCCAGAGTGTGGCTGCATGTGGACACAGGGCCTTTAGAGACGGACTTAAAGGGCCAGCAGCTCGTGGTGTGGTAGTTAAAGTGCTGGGCTCCCACATGGCCAACTGCAGTTCGAGTCCCAGACCTGGCAGCTTGCTTTCTCACTTTCCCTCGCTTTCCCTCTGGTCATATTAAATAATGATAATGATAAATAAAATTAAATTTAAAAGATTCTTTTAAAAAAGAGGGAATTACGGCTGGGCCCTAACCTAACATGACTGGTGGCCTAATAAGAAAAGGCGTTTGGGACAGACGTGTGAGCGGACCCAGGAGAGACCATGTGAGGGCACCGGGAGAGGGCGGGCATCTGTTAGCCAAGCAGAGAGGCCTCAGAGGAGACCAAGCCTGCGGAGGAACACTTCGCCTCAGACTTCCACCACCGACATATGAAAAAACAAACATGTATTTCTTACTTTTGTTTTTTGTTTTTTGGAGAGGTTTTTACTATAGGGCCCGTGCGCTTACCAGAAAGAGACAGAAAGTGAAAAATGCCCCCCCAGGGGAGATGGCCACGCCGCAATCCCTTCTCCTCCATTCTCCTCTCGGAATCTTGGACACACGCACACGTGCCCAGTGTGAGTTTAAGCCACTGGGTCCGGGACTCAAACCGCGGTCGACTACATGGGAGTCCAGCGACATAGCCATTACGTCAACTGCTGGTCCCAACAAACATGTTTCTGAAGCCCCCCTCCCGTGGGTGATGTTACGGCAGCCTGAACAAGCTCATATGTGAGGCAACCCCAGAACCGAGGAGCCTGGGAGAAGGACATACAGGTACGTACTACACTATTACTTAGACTTCCTATAGACTTAACAATCCTCCAAATAAGAAGGTGGGGTGTGGAGGGAGACAGACTCAAGAGGGATGATCTAATGCAACCACTCAGGGTTGATTTGGCAGTATCTGTCCAAATTGTTTTTTTTTTTTTTTTTTTCTAGTTTGCTATAGGGCCTACGTTCTTACCAGAGAGACAAAGAGAAAGAGGAAGTGAGAAATCACCCCCTAGGGGAGATGACCATGCAGCAGTCCCTCTTCATCTCTTCTCCTCTCATGATTTTGAGCATGCACGCACACGTGCCCAGTGCATTTTTCAAGTTGCCAGTTCCGGGACTCAAACCACGGAGTCGGCCATGTGGGACCCAGCACTTGAACTGCCACGCTACCTGCCGGCTCCTCGCTATCCAAGTTGTAAGTGCTCGTGCCCCTCTAACCTGCACTGCACCCCAGTACAAAAGACCTGCCAAGAGCAACAGAGCTATTCACTGCAATACTGTCAGGACGACTCCTGAGGGGAGCCAAGGCCTGCGCCCACGGGGTTAGGACAGACACCGGTACCATACAAGGTCATACTAGGCGGCTGCGGAAAACACGGTAGGTCCGCGTGGACTAGTGTGAGAAGATTTCCTAATTACGCTCATAAACTGTAGACTATTATGCATACCAGGATTCCATTCGTGTCCTATTTATTTTTTCTTTTCTTTAAAGAATAGTCTGCTGGGGGACCAGCAGTTGGTGCAATGGCTATGTTGCAGGCCTCCCATGTAGTCCACGTGGTAGACTCTTACACCTGACAGCTTCAAACTCAATGCCAGGCACGAGTGTGTGTGCGCGTGCCCAAGATCCCGAGAGGAGAGGGATTGTGACATAGCCATCTCCCCAGGGGGGAGGGGGTGATTTCTCACTTTCTGTCTCTCTGTCTCTGTTTATCTGCAAGCACACATGTACTACAGCAAACACACCCACACACCCACCCACATACACACACACACACACACACACACATACACACAAAACCTGGGAAAAAACTCTGCCAAAGGTCAAGCACACTGGTGAGACAGTGGGGGCTGGGGAGAGGGAGAAAGCACCCCCTCATAGGGAACGGGACTTTGGGATGCACACACATGCCCCTGGCATGTTCCCCAAGCCTCCAGGTCTGGGACTCAACCCCGCTGTCAGCCATGTGGGACCCAGCTGCCCTAACCGCTACACCAGGGAGATACACACGCGTGCAACTGTTTAAATGCTGCTCTTACGCATTTTTCTCCCTAAAGGGATGCATAGGTGACTACGGACCAGGGCTATCTTTGATGAAAGAAATGACAGAGCAGAGAAGTCGCCTTTTTCTATCACTGTGAATGGTTTAAACACTTCCATACTCATTTTGCTTTTATTTCAACATTTAAAAAAGACAAGCCCATCACAGAGACTTAAGCGGATATAGCAAAATGCGACCGAGGAGAACTGGAGTGATCCTGATCCGTAGTCGGACTTGGGGACAGGGTGTGGGGAAGGGATTGTGCCCGCTGGTCAGGGCCCAGAGTGGCCCACAGCACTGTGGCTGGCAGGTTCAGAATGGGTGCAGACCCTTCTAGAGAGCAGAAGTGGGGCTCCCACAGTCTTCCTCTCCATTCCCCACCCCTTTTCTTTTTTAAGAATTATTTTATTTAACGTTCTTTATTTGTTTTAATTTGATCAGAGAGGGACAGAATGAGAGAGGAAGAGAGAAGGAAGGTGAGAAAGCAAGATGCCAGGTCTGGGACTCGAACCATGGTTGGCCATGTGGGAGTCCAGCGTCCTGAACTACCAAGTCACCTGATGGCCGGCCCCCACCCCACCCCTTTTCTAACAATTGTTCAAAGTAAAAAAATCTCTTTTTCTTTTAATTAGAGAAAAAATTATTAAGAGAGCTGTTCCAGATCTTGTCTGGTAAGGATAAAAAAACAGTAACAAAACCCAGGTCCACTTACCCTCCCTGTCATAGCATGTGGAGGGGCCTGCTGTGCGACCAGCCCTGAAGGGCAGGAGATGAAAAAAGATAAGAACTCCAGTCTTTAAGCTCTCCTTAGGTAGGGATGTCAAATGTGGAACCAGTTAGCTGGGTGCAGAGGTGAGGCCTAATGCAGGAGAGGGAAGGGCAGGGGCTGGAGCCCTCTGACAATAAAGACAAGACAGAGGCAAGTGGAGTTTTGTGGCCCCAAGTGAAAGAGCGCCTGCAGGCACCCGCGGTGGGAGGCTGAGGGCGGGAAGGGATCTCCCTAGAGCTGCCCGAGGGACTGTGGCCCTGCTAAAACCTCGATTCTGGTTGTTGGGCTTCCAGAACTGAGAGAATGCATTACTGTTCATTTTTAAAAGTGTAATTAATTAATTTATTTTAAAATTTGCTGCAGGGTGCATGTGCTCACTGGAGAGAGACAAGAGAGGAGGGGGGAGGGAGAAAAAGTGAGAAAGCACCCCCAGGGGGAATGACCACGCCAGAATCCCTTCTCCTCTCAGAATTTTGGGCTCTTACACACACACATGCTCAGCATTTTTCAAGCCACCACTGGGTCTGGGACTTAAACTGCCCAGTTGGCCATGTGGAATCCAGCGCGTTAACCACCATGCCACCTGGCTGGCTCTTTCTTTTTATTGCTGGAAGGTGTACACACTTGAAATGGGTGGAGGCACGGAGAGGGAGGGAGGGAGAGAGCGCACACATGAACGAGAACTCCCCCGGAGATAGCCATTCCGCAGTTCCTTCTCCTTCATCCTCCTGTTAGGATTCTGGGTACACACACGTGCCCGGCGTATTTTTCAAGCCACTGGGTCCAGGACTCAAACTGCAACCAGCCATGAGGGATCCAGCAGCCTTAACCACCCTGCCACAGGATGGACCGGGTACTTGTTTTCATTTAGTGAGGCCCCTGAAGTTTCACAGCGGTTTTCCCAGAAGCTGACTCTGTGGGCCATTCTTACAACGGGGCTAAAACTGCTTTGGCGCTGGACAAGGAAAGCTGCCAGCAAGGTGCCGAGGACGCCTACCCCCAGCTGCTCCTCCCCCAGCTCACCCGAGACAGGACACCCTCACCACGTCCACCCAGAGACAGAGCCATACCCTGGGTTGGGAACCGTTTTGGGGAAGGTCTTGGATTTACGGCCCAGGTTCGAACTCAGCCGGCTTTAATCCTCCTACACAGAGGTTCAGCCAAAGGCTGAGAGCAATGATGGCCAAAGCAGGGGGAAAAGCTCAACTGTCTAGCAGAGAAATACGCTGAATTCTCTGGACACAGGCCTCCTTGGACCGACTGCCTCCCTGGAGAGCAGAGCTGTGGTGCCATCCGCTAGCACAGTGAGCGTGGCAGGAGGGACAGCATCGGCACCAAGTGTGGGCTCCCCAGGGGTCTTGTCTGATAGGAATACAGACGGCAAATACACACCCAATAAATCTGCAACCTTAACATCGATTTTAAAAATGCAAAGAGGTACTTTCTTTTCTCTTTTTGAGAGGTTTTTTGCTACAGGAGGCGA